AAAAGGAAAGGGGGTGTACTGTGGGTATAACTTTTTTTAGTCTGCGACACCGATTAATGTTTAGTAGTTTGACAGCAAGTAAATTTTCATGGAAATTCAAACTACAGCAGCGCTAYTAATTGCTGTGGCAAATAGTGGCTAGGACAAGTTTATCGAATTTAGGCCCAACGATAGTCACCCCAAAGTTCGACAATGTGYATGCAGTATATGGCAAGTATTACACCGATTCAACCAGTTTTGATATACAGACATACCATTATAAGAGAAGGATCCCCAAATTTCAGTTATATACAAGTATATCACATATTGACCAACATTTTCTACCAAATGTCAACTGTAGGCAACGGGGTCTAAATATTCGGTACCAACAGGCATKAAAAGTTTTTATTGGATTTAAGATTAGAAGCTTTGCATAATAAGTCTAGGTGCCCGTGTGTTGCTTGGTAACAAAACTACACAGCAGTATTTGTAAATTTTCTTGGTATCAGTTACGAACAGTTCTATTCTGTGGAATTATCCGATTGTATCATTATGCTTTCTGGAGTCAAAGTTGTAATTCGGAATGAGTTGTTCATCCACTAGCCGAGTCAACCGATTGCGAGAAACAAAAAAGTTTAGAATATTTTAGTTATAATTACCCGTAGGCTAACCGGTACAAAATTGTATCAGAACATTTTCATRGCATCTTTTCTTTCCCTTTTATAATTTTTCCAGTAAATATTCATATTTGACATATGTAGCGCTCTAGCTATATCGATCAATATTATAGGATGAGATGTGCTGATTATAAGGGAGTTTTTAATCAATGTTATAAAAAAATAATAAAATAATTTATATAATTCTAGACATTAAAAATATTGAATATATAATAGTATCATCTCTCTCTCTCATTTACTCACATTGATTATGCTCTCTTCCTGTGCCGTGATCTTGTGAATTCCATAAGCTCGATGTGGCACCAATATAAACGTTGTTCAAGGATGATGACGATGAGATATCTGCAACATTCGATTTTGTGCGGTGAATTTTTTTGCTGAAACGTTGATCTATTTTGCCGACGCGAATTCCCATCAAAGTGGTTGTAGTCATTTTAAAAGAAATTAAATAGATATATAATACTTATGTTTTTAGTAACATAGCTGTGTATATTAATTTACATGTATGTGTATATGTAAAGTTGTGTCTTCTGCGTAAACCTCATTTATTCTCTACTAATGAACATCTCAAGAAAAACGATAGAAGAGGAAGCATTGCTATGAAATAATGACAGAAATAGAACATTGGATGTATCAAGTTGTTNTGGGATTTGTCAGTCTGTCTGTAAGTTAAGGGCAGCCAGAGTGAARTAATGAATGTTAGGGAAAGCGTAAGGACTTGTGATGCTATAGACATAAATAAATCTATTATTATTCCATATATTGMTTGTTGTGAGGAGGAGAACATGCGAGGAGCACCAAAATTAACTTAAATAAACGAAATGTTTATGTTYGAGTATTTATTTGAAWTAATTTAGATTTTTTCGGTYTATTGCATTTATACACACCTTTGTTGTTGTATTTCGTAACCACTACGGACACGGTGTTTATAGCCACCGTCGGTGCTAATGTGGTTATAGTCGTTGTTTGCGGAATATCTGCAATGAAAAAAGAGAAAATATAGAACAGAGGCAAAGAGAGTGAAAAAGAGTCGAGTATAGTATAGTACGGATATATGTCTAGGATTGAAAGCTGCAGAGTTTACTAAAGTAGCCGTAATTTAAATGAGTGAAAGAATTTAATGAATTTACATATGTATAACAAAATTTTATAGTGTTTTGTTTTTAGATTTTGAGAAATATTTTAAATTTAGTTAGTCGGTAATAGTTTTTAGAAAAATTATAAAAATGGGAATATGAAAATTTATGTATTAAATTAGTAGAATATAACATATCGCAGAAAATATTTGTATATTATAAAACGAAGGTTACAGCGTCGCATTCCTCCTCACAACAATAAAATTGAACCAATAGGGAAATACATAGAAACAAGAAGAAGAGCAATTTAGCATTATTGTACTTCGTTAAAACGAAAATATACTAAGGARTGTACCACAAAAAGAAGTAAGAACTTTAAGCTTTGATATAAAGTTAAATAAAAATATCCATTAGTCTTTAATTTCAAGATTTTATTAAGCATRATTAAAATTATTAAATTTAGATCAAATAAGCCAATTTTGCAGAAATCTTGCATATTGGCAATAAAATGGAACCGCCGCTCTACAAGAGCTTCTCTTGAGGCGATTTTTAATCAGCAGACTAATTTGACTGCCAACTTAGATGTTACACTTTCACTACCGTTMARTAGCCTGGAAGTGTACCCCCATAATTTTAGTACGCTCTGAACATCAGCAACTAGATAACCACTTTGGGTTCTACAAGCATATGCTCTGGTTTCGAAACCTAGGATTAGTCGTCGTTTCTTTTCGTAGAAATTTCGATCATTTCCAACTTCTCAAGCTCTTGATACGTATATATTTCAGGGTCTTTCTTTGTTTGTCTGCATATGCCTCTCTCTTCCCTCTTCAGCGCTCGGTATCTATCCCATTCCGCACGTGTTGTGATATGTAGGCTGACTGCTTTCTCTCCAYTGCGACACGACAGGCCTCATGGTTCCAGCAGTTACCTTACACCAAGTTGCTGAAGAGAGCAGAAGTGAAAGTCGAGTAGAAAATTGTTCGGCTGTCTATTTGTTTGCAGCTTCTCTATATCGAACCTTACCTGAACTTAAAAGATAGCTGTTCAAACGTCCTTTAGACGCGTCGTTCGTCTATCATAACACGATGAATCGGGTTACGAACTTTGCGACTCGGAAACAATCAAGTAGCTTAATGAACTTTCATGTGATGCCACGTGGCATCTGGTCGCCTATATTTCGAGCCGCTGCGAAATCGATCTGCCTCAACCCGCTTGGAAAGATTTCGCCATAGAGGCTGAAGTTTTCGAGTATTATACCAAAGATGCGTTCTTTGTCCGCCCTTGCGTTAAAATYGCCAAGCGCAAGTTTTACATCGCGACGACGGCTATTGTCATAAGCGCGCTCCAGACGCCCATACTTAATAGGCCTCCTTTTTCGTCAGGGTATTGGCGCAAATCAGTGTTATGTTGAAAAATCAGCTGCAGGAGTGACTACCAGGACACGACGACAGAATTTCTCTCTCACGCCGAATTTACGCTCCTTTATATGGACAGTGTAGTAAAGGACCTGCTCATCTCCGCCCTTTCCTCGTTCATCGCAATTCTTGTTCGACGGTAATGTTAGTCTTTACTTTTACGAAGACATCAACCAGCTGGGCAGCGGCACCTTCCCAATTTAGGTACCGGACATTCCGGGTGCATGCCCTTAAATCATAATCCTTATTACGTTTACTGTAGCTGTCATCAAAAGTGTAGTCTTTCAACCAAGACTGTTATTTCCTTTTCATGGCGATTGGTTTYTACGTGGTTTTATAAAAATTTTTAAGACGCGCCATTTGTTTCAAGAACGACGCCCGATCGTGGCCGCACATATGGTTAACAGACGATGGAATTAGACTTCAGCGTACCCTTTAACCGAATATTTTTGTGGTTCCACTGAAGCTTCCTCCCTTTTAGCAATCACCGCATTGACCCAAGACCATGTCCGCATTATACCGCATTCCACTCCAAGACCGTAAACACTATTCATGTTTTCAGTTGCCCGGCTTCAGTTTTCGTCTTAATTGAAGAAAAACTAAAATAATATATATATATTATTTTTTTTGCTAGGGCCATCCAATCACATAGCTTTCTGAGAATTTTTAGCATGAAATATTGTTTCCACATTTTCTAGATATCGTATTTTCTTTTAGTTACACGAACAATGAAATTTAAAAATTTACCAAATGTTGCTTTTAAACTTTTCACTAAAATTTTAACACTTATACAACAAAATTTTAGAAGTATTCGTTTTCCTCTGACACTAAGTGGTATACTATATTTAATCTCAATACCAACTGTACGTATTATTTTAAATGAAATTTAACTCTGTTATTAACCATAATGCTCATGAAATCTTGAATGCAAAACAATTTTAAATTGTAGTCCTTCTTAACTGTAGGTTAGTTAGTTAAGTAAAAATTATAAGTTATCCATGACATCAAAGATTATGCAAGTGTAAATATTTATGTTGTAATCTGGTATATAAAGCAATTCAATTATTTGCCAACCAAAATCTTTTGATTTAATTTCTAACACCAAACTTAATAATTAAGACCAACTTTAAAGCTGGCCAACCACACAACCACTTGACTATTGACTTAAGTGCCTAAGGCTCCTGGCCAACATACGTGTGTATTTTACATGAATTCAAAGTAGTACTTAAACAATTACGCTAATGCTTTCCTGCATATGGTTATATTGGAGTGTGGTTGCATAGTACGTATGTACTATACTGTACCCTTGCTAAACTCCATTACAATTAGTGCCACATTAATTATGCAATACTCTTCGGTTGTTGTCAGATTAGAGACGGTCACGGTAAGGTTAGAAATCAAGGAGCCAAGAAATTCACCAAAAATCACAACTTTGTAAGTACCTATGTATAGTATGTATCAAACTGCAATGGGAAAGTATTACATGTTCGGCATTTTGTAATTCTCTGAATGTATGCTTATTTCGACCTAATTGACTAAAATTTAATCTAATTGCAATAAACTATCTATAGTATTGGCTTACAAGCAAATTCATTCCTAGAATGAAGGAATATATTTTATTTAAATGTATGTTTTCTTTAAGATTTTTTATTTTTTTTTGGTTTGGTCAAACCATCTGAGTTTAATTAATTAAATACGTAGTATATGCAGACTACATCAAGATATTAGTAATTAATTGTATGTGCATTGTAATATGTTTATTTACTAGCTTTTATAAGTACGAGCATGTTATTTTAACGCAGTAGACACCAATCTGTAATCAAAGTACGTTTACTGTACTACTATCGGCAAAAAATAATAAGGCATTCTTCATAATTTTATTCCACTAAATCTATATCGGCCCTTTCAACATGATCAACCGAAATTCCATCGAAACTGTGCGTGAATTCATCAAAAATCAGCCGAAATCATCATTGAAATTCATGGAAATTGAATTGAACATCTCAAAAACATCGATTTATCGCATTTTGACCAAACATTTGGGCTTACGACAGATGTGTGCACGGGTTGTTCCGCACAAATTGACTGACAACCAAAAATTGCTCAGAATTGTGATTGGTGACAAAACGTGTTGTTTTCAATTTGATCCCGAAACAAGAGTGCCAGGGTGCTGAATGGAAAGCACCGGGTGAGCCGAAACCCAAAAAATCGCGCATGAAGAAGTCAAAAGTGAAGAAAATGATTATTTGTTTTTATGATTCCACGGGTATTGTCCACAAAGAATTTGTTCCACATGGCCAATACGTGAATGCGGTATTCTATCTAAGAGTTTTGAAGCGTTTTGTGCGCCGTATTCGACGTGTTCGGCCCGAATATCGCGAAGACGAAAGTTGGCATTTGTTGCACGATAATGCGCAGTCTCATCGATCTACGCGTGTTAACGATTATTTGACGAAAACTCACATTTTAACCAATAACCGCTCCCCGTATTCACCTGATATGGCACTGCGCGGCTTCTTCCTTTTCGGAAAAATGGATTTGCGAATGAAAGGAAAGCGTTATGCAGACGTAAAGCTATTGAAAGGGCTTGCACCGGCAGACTGGCGCACATACCGGCCAACCAGCTAAAACACTCGTTCGACATGCTTTTGAACCATGCAAAAAGCTGTATTGAAGCAGAGAGAGACTATTTTCAATAAAATAAATTGATTTTGCCGAAAAACCATTTGTTCTATTTTTTTAAGTCCTGTTTACTTTGGAAGGCTCCTTGTACATCAATATTTTCAATTTTCAAAATTTGCGATACAATTGTCAGTTGCTAGATGACAACACTAGAGGTTAACCACTGAAGCACTAAACAATATCGTTGACACTGCGAAATACCCAGTAAATGGTAAGCGATGGRGAGGCGAAACAAAAAAATATTGCGCGCCAATCACCTTAGAAGTGAAGAATGCCTTCAACTCAGCAAAGTCGGCATGCAAAATTAAGGCTCTGTATGACATACTAGAAAAGTGGATGAAAATATATCTCTAACCAAAGGGGGCCGAGGGACTCATTCACACTCACAATTAAGGTATCTGGGAGTAATAATGGAATCAAGGCTCAAATTTAARGATCWCCCAAAAACAATGGAGGTAAAGCGARTAAAATCCTAACCGCTTTATCAAAAATGATGAGCACAGGTTGCGTGTGTTGTGCCGGCGATTTTTACTCGCAAAGGTAATAAACGATATCGGTTGTAATATATACGACTCCAATATGAATCTATATAGGCGCAAGGCRTTAAAGTAAATGCCAGGCAAATAAGCGCAGTGCATGGGCTGTCKGCGCTAAGAAGTAACGCTGCTGAAGTAATAGCGAAGACGAGCGGGTATACTAGTTATCAGAGCCATTTACAGGAGCTAAAAGAGAAGAGAGAAACAAAAGACTGATATCAGATATCCATTCGTRGATCGACAGACGACATGGTGAACTGGATTTCCACATAACCCAAGTACTAAATGGACATGGGTGCTTWAGAAGCTACCTGTACAGATTCCAGCACAAGATTAGTCAGAATTGTCGKACATGTTCTGAAGGCTTTTTAAGAACAAGGGCTTGTTACAGCATCATCTTATAACTATTTTTAATAGAATTTTGATTAACCATCTTGACTTCGAAGTGCAAGGCTATAATTATTTCACTGCTCTTCTGTTTTCAATGGCCTAATTGCCGATGACAGTACATATACTCGTACGAGTATCATAGAAGTACGTACCTTCCCTACAGTGTATCAAACTCATTATGAGTACATAGGTCAAGGTGTTTTTCTGTTGTCTTGTTATGAATACATATATTTGGGTAAGAATATTAGTTTTCAATATACATATACTTACGATAGAGTTTAATTGTACCATCCGTATCACCAAGAGAATTCTTCGCCACACAACGGTARGAACCGAAGTCTGATGTGTCAACATCTTTTATGGTTAAACGCATWGTGATTTTGTAGCCAYTTTCAAAAGTTTCSGATGCAAAGTGCTCACCTGTAAAATAAAAATCATAATATTATATGATGTGCTAATAAGAAATATGTATATGATTATGTCTATGCTTACTAAACCAGGATAAACCAGGATACGATAATACATGTTGTGTATCAATATACCATATATAGTTCGATTTTATCAAAGCTTGGATTAGTTATAATTTGAAATTGATAGGGAAACAACACTGGTATAATATTTGTCAAGAAAACATATTGAGTCTTCTGTACATAGAGTGAGATGAAATAAGATTTATTACGGAGTCCAAAAATTTATCCGAAGTCGCATCTTGAATGTGCTCTCTATTTTACTTCAAGTTAACTGTTAGAAAGTGTTATCTGCTAAAGAGGATATGACATTATTTTTCGCAATTTATTTAGTTAAGTCTATGAACATTATTCGCAATTAATAGTTATCTCTCACATCGAACAATGGTTTACTACAAATGTCATAGTTTACTTACTTAGAAAGTTACAAATTTTGTAACTTAATACTTGTTCTCATATGTTGAGGTTAACGAAATCAAAAACTAACAAAACAAATATTTCAATCCATCTGAACTTAATTTGTTTTGAAATTTTAATTTATTTGCGTGCATGTTTGTCGCTCAACAACAAAAATGCATTATGTTCTTGAATTTTCATCAACCTTATTTGCATATGACTCCAAAACCACCACAAATAACAAAATAATTACACATGCACATATTTAGCGTTAGGGTGACACAGTCGTTTAAGTTTGCTGAATAGGCAGAAGTCACACGAAGCTACATACATCAGCCGCATGCGGTGGTTCCGGCACGATRTTGGTTGAAAATTTTTCGAAAAGCTCATAAAGAATCAATGACGGTACATCATTGCAAAACTAAGAGTTCTCGGTCCATAATTCCGGTRTCWTTTTATACTYTTGCAACCAGTTGCTACAGAGCATTCTAGTTYTGCTCACCTAACGGTTGTACGTATCACCTAGTCCTAAACGAAATTCATATAGGGTTATGTATATATAATATAAATGATCAGGATCCATTCGAACTTTAACTTAAGTAAAAATATATRTATGTATACATATACTTGATGAAACCTGGTATGCGAGTTCCTTAATACAAAAAAAATTACAAGTTCGTAAATGGATATAATCAGACCTCTGCCAACAGTCAGCATACCGAAGATTTTTTCAACATTCAACATGGTTCAGCACCAGAAATTTTATTCCACATATATTTTGTAGTGACACTTGGCATAGACTGACAGTTCATACAAGTTCTAACCTAGAAAAAATATTTTCACGAATGGATTTCCGCGCGAAATTTAAATTGAAACATCTTGCTAATTATTGTCCACACTGCTTTTTACTACATAAGTCGATAGTTTAGTTTTTGGGTCTCCCTAATATTAATAACGAAGCCAACCAGGAAGTTGACAGTTGCCTGACAGACTTTATTTGCATTCGTGTGCACGAATCTTAATATGAAATATATCTGTATATGAATATATATAGTATGTAGATTTAAAAACATACTGACTTCCACTCTTTGCAGGCTTCAATATATTTAATTTCTTTTCATATATATCCAAACTCTCATTTAAATGTAAATATGTAGTAGCATGGCAAAAAGTAAGGTGAATTTATTTATAAATTAAAAATTCCTTATTTATTCTTCCAAATCAATTTCAGTCCCTTCGAAGTAGTTCCTGGCCAATAACACGCTCTTTCGCCAATGCTTTTTCCACTCTTCTATTCCTGTCAAAATGTCATCGTCGCATTAGCCTTTGGACTTCGATATATAGGCAGAAAACGGATGAAATCACATCAGGCCAATACAATGGTTGCGAAACAAAATGAATCGAGTTTTTGCAAAAGAGTCGAAAAAAACAATGTAGTATGACACGGCGCGTTAGCATGATAAGGAGTTGTTTACCCATAATTCCAGTTTCAGTCGAAGAGCTTGACCCCACCGACGAATAACGTTCGAATAATATTCTTTGTTAAGGGTTGACTCTGTGGAAGGAACCACCTTCCTTTTGTATCGCGTTAGTACATACTTATTATATTGAAAATTGCGTGCCATTTTCTACGAATCTGCAGTGCGATCTATACTTCATTTTGAAATTTTGGCGGAGTGTTTAAATAAGGTAAGTCCGGCCGGTTTTAGATTTGAATTAAAATATTTTGTTAAAAGAGGCTGCTATGGACGAAAATGTCTATAAAGTTCACAGCAGGTTTTTGACTGAAAATTGCTTGAATTAAGTTCCAAATCTTCAACGAATACGCAGCACATGCCAAAGTCAGCCATTACTACTTTTATGTCATCCTGAGAATTCATTAGTATAGCCGCTGGTAAGAAATCGTCTATATTGAGGTCTATTTTAAATCTAAAGGTAAAGCGTTTGTGGTATAATTTCCATCGGTAACTTGATTTTTAGCAATATATATTGTGTGTGATATCCGATTGTTATTATGTGCGATGTAAAGCCGAATGTTTCTTTTAAATATTTGTTTTTCTATAAAATATTGCGAATTTAATTTTATCTCGTTCTGTCCGTTATGTCATTTATCTTTTACTTGGGATATACCAGAAATAAACTCAATCCTCAAAAGTATTCCKCATTCAGCCATCTCTTTTGCATATATATTAGTAGCTATGTTTGTATATAAGTTATCGCATATTACACTTTTATTTACGTAACGAACTCGATGGAAATGCATTGTACAGGCGTTCAGAGCGTGCAGCGCTCACTGATGGACTCTGTCCATACCACTTTCTCTTTCTGTTTTGCTAACTCTCTTAGCAATTATTTTATAGCACACGGTGATGTTTTGGTGACACTTTTTCCTTATTCATACACTTTCAGTGACTGTTTGTCCAAGTATTTACTCGCTTTAATAGCAATGAGCGTCTGTTGGAATWTATGTATATRTACATATGTGTGTGTTGCTGTCCAMATGTGTGATTGCGGTTAAAAAATGGCTGACAAGAAGTTAATTAAACGTCCGTTGCAATTTCTGTTTTTATAGCTAGCTACTACATATTTGCTAAAATGTCTTTTTGCAGAGCACTTAGCTTAAAAAAATACCATTTTGTTTACATAATTTAAGTTAGCTTAAAATCAAATGAAGATTGCATATTAGTAGCGTTATTTAAATATTAAAACCTAAACTTTGAAAATGCTGTCATATTGTAATTATTGAAAAACTCCTTTAATTGTACTCACCCGGTACAATGATCGTGTCATTTTTCGTCCAGTAATTGATAGACTTCGGATACGCCTCTGACTGACACTCAAGTGCTATAATTTGGCCGGTGGCMGCACCGACTAGTTGATTTTGGATCCAAATCATTGGAGGAACTGTAAAAAAGAAGAAAAGAACAATCAAAAAGATTATTTAGTGTTTACGTATAAAGAAAAGGTCTAGCCATGTTGCTAGAAAWAAATWACCTTTTAACTCAATTRAGATTGCCTAACAATTATAAGAACTCATAATAATGGTCTTTATCTTTATTTAAAYCGGTCAGTTTAAATATCAGCTGTATGCTATATTTGATTGTTCTCAACACTTAGTTAGAGAACTATATWTTTTCGGCAACAATCTGTATCGAATATTGTGAAGATAATTATTTACATAAAAAAGTTTTTTAATTAAGAACTTGCAGCTTCTTGGAGAGGAAGAAGTTTAGTGAACTCTTTGTMTTGAGTAAAGTTAGCCTTTCAACAGGACAATGGCTTCTAACTGGCGTATTTCATCTTGGTGTTCACGCGGTAGGGTTAAGAATCTTACTGTGTACTAATTGTTGGAAGAAAATGTTACAAAGGCGGACAAAGAAATATCACGACTTCAAATTGACCCATCATCCTGATCATCTTTATATATGTACATAGTATAAACCTATATTTCCGTAGCAACATGTGGCAAGAGCATAAAAAGCTTTCACGTCGGTTGCACCTAAGCAAATACAAAAGATTCCTTACAACAATTTGATTCCGTTCGGTCAATTTGCTTGGTAGCTCTGTGGTATGATGGTGCCAATAACGAACAGCTTCTTGGTGGAAAAACGGACTTGTGCACAATTTCAGATCGGCATGACGAAAATTTTGGAACTAACTCGAGTATATATAGACGGACAAAGAAATCTACTCAGCTAGTCATGCTTATCATTTATATATTTATTTTTAACGTTTTATTTCCTTCCGGATATTACAAACTTCGTGACAAACTTATATTCTGCTTCAGAARAACAGTGTTAGTAATAGACGAAAATTGATAACCATATTATTACTTACAATGCACAATCAGCATTACGCGCTTGCTGACCGTTGGCGGAATGCCATTCGAAGCGATACATAAATATGCACCCATATTAAGGCGTTGTACTTTAGTGATCGTCAGRTAGGAGCCATTGTAGGCGATGACTGGAAAGATAGAAGAAGAGAATAGGTCTTTCAATAACATTCAATAAATTCTTTTTAAATTCAGGAGCAAAGAATACTAAACTTATGTAAGTTATTTATAGAAGATAAATATTTAGTGAGATTTTAGTTAGATAGAAATGTAGATATGTACGTAATTATAAGTCGATTTGTTTATTATTGGGGTGTAAAAATATATATATATATTCTTTTGAATAGGCAATTACAGTTGTGGGACTATACCCAATTCCTCCTCTTGCATCCTCACCGTGCATCCTGGAAACKTAAGTAACCCTTATGTAAGATGCGGGAGTCAACACATGTAAATCCTGAAGTCCCGGGTAAGAGACCGAGAGGAGCTYCAGCGGAGCCACTTTCACAAATTCGGTTTAACAGCTTGCTGAAGTCTGTTTGCAGTGTCTGTTCATCAGAGGTGCGGCTGCCATCGGGCGTCGGTCTTAAAACAAGCACCTCGCTTTATGAATGTTAATAAAACTTTATATTAAAGCCTAGCGTGGTTGTACTCTAGGTAGAAACCGATATCATTAATATAAAAACAACAGCCTCCTTTRAGAATGTAATAAGAACTATAATTTACAGTTGTCCGGTCTCTAAATTGATGTCCTCGTAAGGCTGACATCATCGATGTTCAAGAAATGCAATGGACAGGACAAGGATGGAGACGAGTAGATCTTTGTGACACCGGAGCGCAAATTTGGTGTAGAATTCTTGGAGGGAGAAAGACTTAGTCGTCGAGTTCTAGTATTCACTCCAGCGTTTCTCCACAAACCATATCTTTGGCACAAAAGTCAGAAAATTCAGTTTCTATGGCGAAACCTCTCCAAACAGCTGGAATGAAAAGGACTGTTGCTTCGCAGTGAAAAGGAATAGAAGTTCTATTGCCCTAKTATGATGAGGTTCGAATAACTATTAGGTTATGAGTTTAATTTTTTGTACACATTCCTTAATTAAACTATTAACTACAAGTACAAATAAGGTACCTTCGTAAAAGAATTATATGTGCAATATAATAACTTAAATTTAAAGTATCAAACACACAAAATATATTTTGATGGCTTACACTTTTATTTGTGGCTTTATAAGATGTATTAAACAAAAACAAAATCGTAATTATTTATAAATTATTATAAAGTATTACCCTTTTGCAGCTTTACCATGCACAGTCTTCGTGGCAGAGACCCTACTAAGTTTTGCAGAGTAGTTAGCTCAATTTTCCCCCAATCTTATACAATGGCCGTTCTTAACTGCTTAATCGTATTATACTGCTTGGCATGTGCATATTCTTTAGCAGTAAGTTTACCCCAAAGGTCCTCTATGGGGTAAGATCAGGACTCAAAGCTGGCCAATCCAATAATTGGATATTCCGGGACTGAAAAAATCCTTTCGTAGCGCCAGACACATGAATGGATGCGTTGTCTTGCTAAAATATCCAATTGCCGTCATGAAAATTCTAAGCAAAAGCAATGACCTCACTATTCAGTAGATCAATATACCTATATGTACTTCGGAATTCACTTTAGTAGGTAAAAAACACACATAAGATTTCCTYTTAAAACTAAAGGCAGCTCATACCATTTAAGATCGCCCACCATGGTTTCGCTTATAGCAAGTCTCTCTTSGATATCATGTCTCTYTYCAATATTTGTGATGATCATCYGGACCATTCAAATTAAACTTTTTTTCGTCACTAAWAATTACATTTTGAAACTACTCCCCCCAATACCGATATTTGTCGCAAAATAAAATACAAGCATCGTTATGTTGCGTTTTCATTTGCGGCTGAGCCAGGTTTTATTCAGACTTAAGGCTTAATTCATGCTTCCTAATTTGCAGAAGCACGCTGTCTAGTGATTGCTAGGCCTAATTCTACTTTTATCTGCCAGCAACTCATACCTTCGCTAATTGCTAAGCGATGAATGCGTCTCTTGGTCCGCTTACCAACCGCTGGCAACCGACCAGTATGCTTTATGACACCATAATTTTGAGGATTTTTGAAATAATTCGAAACTGACGCAGCAATCCGTCCAATGCTTATATCAGCTCTGTGCATTCCAATTCTCCTACCCCGCTCTTCATCCGATGGTTCTGTACCACGTGGCATTTTAACTATATAACTATTCTAAAATAATAAATTATTTTTCTACGCACTACGTTAAAAAAAAAAACTTTATATGTTATCTGTTCAGCTGCCAGAGCACAAATAGATGCATTTGCATATATAATTCTTTTCTATGAAAAATACAAATCGCAATGACATTTTAAATTAACGGTAATTCATATGAAACAAACATATTTGGCTTGAAATAAGTTCCTCTAGACCTTAATTAAATTTAATATATATTGAATGACAGCTGAAAGCACGAAATTCGATTCAATATTCATAGTACTTACTATTTCCACTAAAATTACAAATTCATTTTCTTTGCACTCAAAATTTATGATGACCGATTGCTAAGCAATTGCAGTTTGCGTCATAAAATTGCATCCAATAAAAAATGCAAACTCATTTTGMTAATGGCGCTAGTGGTTTTGCTGTTAAAGCATCCCCGATTTAAAACTAGTTAGAATCGCTTATTTATTATCTATGTCCCTTTCACTGGTGAACAAATTATTCAGTTTTTGCCATAACTTTTCAGTCGCATGGTTTACATGCGGAAATTAATGAAAATACTGGAATAAACATACTTATATAGTTTTGATATGAATAGCTTCATGATTTTGTCGAATTGTGTTGCAGTAATACATAAATTTCAGGATTATAAAAATTTGAAAATAGACACTCTCATGGATAGAAAATATATTCCTTTTTTATTTATATATAATATTAATAGCAAGGATTTTTTGCGTTTAAAATCAAATAAAATCATTCTCGACCTTTGAGAACTGAATCGGCTTGCAAAAGCTTTCCTTTAATCATGTAACCCTGCAAAAGTATATATTGTAGGTATGGAATTAAACAAAATATGAAAAGGTTTCTAAAAGAAGTTTTTGACATGTGAATTTCCAAAAAAAGTCTTAAAATACAGAAAACGAATTTAATTATATTTCAAAGATAAAAAAAAAAAAAACATTTGAGCTACTACGACACTAAAAGAAATAAAACTTTAAGTATAATTTGAATTTTTCAAAATCCTTGAGGGAGATATTTTGAAGACAATTTGRCCAATGGTCTCGGCATATGTAAGTATTTATTAAATTTTAATTTTTAGATTAGAATGGCTCTATAATCTATTAGCCGTAAATATATCAATTTAATACGTAAAGGTTGTCATTGTGTACACGTTAGGTAAAACTAAAATAATACTTACACAACGGCACCCTTTTAACCACATTTTCATTATTTTATTGCCAGAAACAATATGTGTAATTTAAGCCAAATATCAGCGAACTGAAAAATGCTGAAACTAGCACTAATTTCAGTATGAAATTTGCTTTGTGAACAAATGACAACCTGACACTTATAACTTTGGATTTGGATGCGCAATTTTTGTTGTCCGCATTTTCATTTAAACAAATTTAATCTAATATGTTTCAATAAAATTTTGTCTATAATTGGTGTCATATCACTTTCAGTTTCTTTTTTTTAAGCCATAAATGTATTTAAATATATTCTTTCTATGTTTGCTTTTAAATTAGTGGTTAGTACAACTAAATATTTCACAATTTTGATGTCTAGTTGAATTATGGAAAAAGTAGATGTTATTTTTTGTGTTATAACTGAAAACTGTTACGTATGTAAGGAAAAGTAAARTATTTTAGAATCATAAGAATATTTATCAATTCTTAACACAGAAAATTGTAGATATAAATAATGGGTTTAGTAAAATGAATTCCATTATTTAATACTTACTCAGAAATTTATTTAGTATATTTAAAATGGTTTTATGTTGGTGAAGTATACAATGTTACGCTTGGTAACTTGTTAATATTTTAAAGTTGATTTTCATGATACCACTATAAAAGAAATCCTCGACTCCATGGGTAAAAAAATAGTATAGTCGGTTAGCGCAATCTTTCCTAGGGGTGAATTTTTTCGTCAGGCTAGTAAAGTTCAGACAGTAATCACTTTGTGGGTTAAATATAGCGTAGATAAAAAAAAAATTTATTTTGCAGGGTCCGGAGATTGTAGCGAGCCCCATACAGCGCGAAATACAGATTACAAGAGCGATACCACTATGAGCAAAAAATCGTAAGACATCGCTCATAATTWAAAMTTTTTAATTCAATCTTCAAAATCKAGGTCCTGSCCTCAAAGTAATCCCACTTGGCCGCAACATACTTGTACCAATTTTTTCAAATCCTCGAAAAAGTTGTTAAAGTCAATTTTTGGAAGAGCATTCAATGCGCGTTTAGGTGTCTTCAAATGACTCAAAACGGTTTCCGGAAGCGGTCGTTTGAGTTTTCTGAATAGCCAGAAGTCACATGGAACTAAATCAGACGAATACGGCACGCTATTGGTTGAAAATTTGGAAAAAAAACCCGAAGAATCAATGCAGCATGCAACGGTGCATTATCGTGGTGCAAAAACCAAGAGTTGTCGGTCTTGATTCCGACCTCTTTTTACAAATAGCTCCGCACGAAGGACGCGTACAACTCAAATAGTATTCCTTTGTAGACAATTTGGCCGGTCGGAAGAAATTCGTACACCTCGATAATCAAAGAAAACTGTCAACATAGCGTTGATTTTTGGCCTGCTTTTCTGTGGGTTCGGCTTCGGCTCCCCTTTCACACGATATTCGGCCGATTGATCGCTTGTTTTCCGGTCGTAAACATACAAGTACGAGTAGATCGAAGACTCATCTCCAGTAATAATAAATTTTATGACATCCTACAAGTATTAGTCGGAAAGCATTGTTGCAGAGCGTTTAACGCGACACTGTTTCTCCAAAAAATTGAGTGATACTTTCACTTTTCTYAGGATCAAATAGGATCAAATGATCTTTGAAAATAGTCTAGAGATCTAGAGTTYGATAAATAGCGTTATTGCGAAATTTAAATTAAAAGCAATTATTTTTTGACATTTTGAATAATTCATTTCTTTTACTATATGTTATTTATGCAATAACTGTGGATGGGAAAATTAGAACTGGCTGATTTATGAAGATAAGTAAAGCACCATAACTAAAGTCGATCATAAGAAACCAAATTTTTTAAACGTAAACTACAAACTATTATTGAATTTAGAAAAGTTTTAGTGCTTCAAAGAACAAAGAGAGGTCCAAGCAGTTGCCATTTCAAAGTTAAATATTAGGCACCAGTTTGTTTTATCTGATATTTGAAATATTTTCTCTACCATAAAATGTTCATTGAAATGGTGATCTTTAGAGAAAGGTCATCTTGGTATAGCTTTACTAAAATATACATTTATTTACTTTACTCACCTTCGGTATTGTTGGGTAGCGGTATGGATTCGCCACCTTCACGACGCCACGTTATGGTCGGTGTTGGTGAACCAACTGCTGCACATTTCAGTGTTACATTGGCGCCCTCTCGTATCACCATATCAGTGCTGGTGGGATAATCGAGAATATCGGGTGGAACTGTGTACGCGAAATGCAGGAAAAACAGTTAGAATTGTAATATTTATGTTGCATTGTATGACGTTGCATGGCGGTGACGTAATTTTCACAGTCATTGTTATGTTGTCCAGCGAAGTCACCATGGTCGACGACATCATGATGCAACAGATGATATAAACATGGTATGTGATGTGTATATAGCACCAGCAGTAACAGCAGCGTTGAAATGTTAAAATTTTGCCAGCGGGCAGATTGGCGTAACATGTTGGGATGTTGTTGTTAGTCAGCGACAGTGAAAATTGAAATGATTTTCAGTTTGCGGTTGTCATTATTATATTACGTACGATTGCAAGAAAATGTTTATAACATTCGGATTTTCCACGCAGACAAGAACCATAAGTTTACATTTAGTTTTTGAGAAGAAGAGAAAAGTATACATGTTTTGTTAACATAATATTATACATAAATTTGTTTAATATAATATGTCTTTAGAAACAGTCTACTAGGTAACTGCAAAATAAATCGCAGCATGCTTTGATACCATTGTGATGATATCTCTTGCTTTGTAAAGACTGTGTTATGTAGCGTTATCTATCGGTCATATTATTCTCAATATATAACATCATAACAATGGATTCATATTATAATGACCATAATCAGTTTCAAATTTAAATAATAAAATAATTTAAATTCACTTAGTAAATGATATTTCAACAAAAAAAAAAAAGTATATATATATATTTTGCTAACTTGGTAGGGCTGTCCTTAATTACTATGCCAAATATAGACACGATCTGTCAATCAGTTTGTTTACAGTGTTATCAAAAACACAAACATATCACTGGTACAAATTCTTCAAAGATGGTTGAAAAATCGGTTAGTTCGTATAGCATTTGTATTTTATTAGCTATATACCTTATATATAATACATTACTAGTGACAGAGAACTAGTGGTAAGAGTTATGAAAATATTACAGTTTTTTTTTCATTACGTAAAAAAATTCCATTGTAGAAAATTCCTATTTTAATAGTTAAAAGACTTTTCAAGTTTGAAGTAATTTTTTTAGATTCTCTAAGGACGAACGATGAGTTTCAAAAGAAAGCTTATAACATTGTTGGTTGGAAATATTTCTGAATCAATAGAAGGTAAGACATAAGTTAGTGGAGCATATGTGCGTACATGCCAACTGTTCGATGCGTAATTAAACAAGAAAAARCGTTAACTTCGGCCACACTGAAACCAATATACTCTTCACAGGTGCATTTCGTTTAGTAACTATGTGTTCAGTTTGTATGGCAGCTATATGCTATAGTGAGCTGATCTCAACAATTTACTCATTCCAAATTTCGTGAAGATAAATTGTCAGATGTGAAAGTTTTCCATACAAAAACTTGATTACGATAGTTCGGTTTGTATGGCAGCTATATGTTATAGTGGTCCGATATCGGCAGTTCCGAAAAATGAGCAGCTTCTTAATGAGAAAATCACGCTTGCAAAATTTGAAAACGATATCTTAGAACTGAGGGATTAATTCGTATATACATATACAGACAGACAGAGGAACATGGCTAAATCGACTCAGCTCAACATACTGATCATTTATAAATACACTTTATAAATGACTCCGATGACTCCCTCTGGGTGTTACAGACTTCGTGACAAACTCAATATACCCTGTTCAGGGCATAATGAAACTTTATAAGAATTAAATAAAAATAAACAAAGTGTGTTACATAAAAAAACACATTTCCCACATTTAAAAAAAATTGCAGCTCAAAGAATTATTTTAAACTATTTTGATATTAACGTCTACCTACACGTCATCGAAAAGTTTCTAACAATTTGCATAAAAAGAGATAATCGTTCCGTAAACTAATAGCTTGTTAAATATTTTACTCTCACTGGGATCCAAACTAAGAGTACAACTTATTATGTAAATTAAATTTCCATGAACCTTATATTTTGAGTATTTTTCTGGATGGCTAAGAGATGTATATAAATATTTAAACTAATACCAATTAGTTATTAAATTTAGAAAAGTAAGTGATATCGCTCTCGAGGCTGGTGAAGTTCGGGTCAGTAGCAAAGGCATCTGGCTTCCTCGTGTTAAAGTTGTTATTGTAATTTATCATAGTGGAATCGCTTGAAATTGTTAAGCTAATAACGCTTGAAATGTTAAGATAATAATCTCACCAGAAAGGATACCTTTACCTTAGTCTCATCAGACTAAGAAC